AACGGTTTGAGAAAGCCTATCTTGATAATGTAAAAACGTTCACCTTAGCATTGGCAGCCCACAGAAAAGCATTCATAGGCCGACTACGCACTACAGCGCTTCAACAAGTTGGACCTGAAATCGAGTGGCGGCTTCCAAGGGATTGACCCGCGTCGAGGTTCTACCTTTCACCCATCTCTGCATTGTTCTTTCTCTCTTTGACTGGACACCAAGTTTTCGTGGAACAGCTGAATTCGCGGTACTTTTATCCCAAAAAACGCCACATCGTCCACGCAATTAGTCACTGCACTAATGTTTATCGTCCTAGGTCCGTACCGCCATAGGCGATAATCCGGCAGATCAGACGACCTACACTAACAATCTTGGTCATGCTGAGTTCTTGGCTTGAGCCAAGAGCAGAATCTTAGCCTTCAAGACCTACCTTCAATTCGTATAGCTCTTATGCTTTTCATTCCGAACATGGCAGTTTGGATACAGTTGGAAGCAGAAATAAGGTCTTCCAAAGGCAACGAACAGTTGAGTGGGAGCCTGAAGAGAGTTGTGAAGGAAAAAAATAAATACAGAAGAAAAAATATATTCGGTAAAAACATTGATATTAAAATATTGAGGGAAGGGGAAACAAGGATTAATTCGACTTCAGTCAACTAGTTGGTCAACTAATCGATAACTCCAGGCGCCCATCGAAGGGTATGGTTACTGTAAGCCACCGTTTTACACAGCACAAGCATTATCATGCTTAGTAAATTATCACATGCGTTCATTGTATATCGTGTAAGCTTAGATGACAACTACTCAGTTCTTCAACCTAATCTCACTAGTGAACCTCAGAGGCCGAGGAAGTAAGTTACTTTTCACGTATTGTTGCCCTACCCAACCGAACGAATGGTGTCTACATGACCTACCGTAATGCTTATGAAAAATAACAACCGTATCCTCTCCGATAGAACGCGCTGTTCTCCTTCTTCTCTACACACACGTTTTAATGAAGTGTCATGGAGTCCCATCTCAGTTAAAAAGAAATCTCTTTTCTTAGACTATTCAAATTGAAGTCAGTCGGCTGTGAAATAAGTGATTGCATT